CAGCTATGTCCAGAGTATGACCGTGAGTGGAGGAACAGCTTCCCCTCTCCTTGAGCACCAGTCTGGCACCAGCATGGGATACCCCATCTTGTGTGATCCCCCACCGCTGCCAGCACGACAAGGTGAGGGGGAAGGAAACTGCTCTGTCAGGAGCAGGGGCTTGGCATGTTTCAGCAAGCACCTGCATGTTGTCCACTGTGCTCATCAACTGACAGCCAATGTCAGCCACCCCGCAGAAAAGGAACAGCCCAGCTCTCTGCCAGAGCATCATTTTGTTCCCAGTTCTGAGAAATTATGAGACACTTTCTTACAGAATTTAGCAATGGTGAAAATTTCCTCTTAACAATGCAATAACCATTTTGGTTAATAAACTTGCTTATGTATGTCTCTGCACTCCTGGAATAGGGTTATTGTCTGGCAAAAAGAGCATAGCCCCAGGTGAGCATATAGCTAATGTGTCATCTCTCTGAGAACATTATTTTCTTGCTGATGACTTCAGTCCATGTCTAATAGACTGACTGCAGGATTAGGAAGTGCATCATATTCATCAGGGCTCTGGAAACAATTGATTAGATATTATCCAGTAAACAGAGACTATATCAGCATTGAAACTTTGTCCGCACTCCAATTTGTGCTTGTGTGGCAAGGACCCTGGGGTAACATCTCTTTGCAAATTTCTCAGCCAGAACCTGTATCTAATCTCCATTTTGCATGGAGGCTTGGACATGCTGAAATAAGCCCAGTCATATGTATGGAGTTTGTGTTCAGTGCCAAAGCAGGAGCATTAATTGACTGCTTGCATGAGGTGTGTGAAATTAAGTGCCACACATTTATCTGATGGGCTTGTGCAGAATCAGTACATCTTCTTACTGCTTTTTCCATCCAGTCAGTCAGCAACAGACTGTAATGATTTTGGCAAATGAGAAGTCACCTTGAAATCCACTACCCATCATTCAGCAAAATAAGGGATAAACTGAAATGACCAAAGATAATTTCAGATGTCTTTTGCATAATGTAGTTTGAGGGAAAGATCAGAGAACTGAGAGACTCTAGTAAGGAGAAATATCTTGTGCAATTTATATTCTGGGACCAGTTCAGCAGAAGTTTCCTAGTAGTTCTTCACTCCTGCAATACATTTGAGTCTCATGCTTTTCTCTGGTCTCTCTCCTTTTTGTTTGTGGTGTTTGTTGGCTCCTATGGAAGATGCAGGACATAATTAATTACAGGATGTAAATAAAACGTGGAGGAAATGAAGCTCACCCAGTGCATAACACATACAACAGAGATGGGAACATCACCCAGCAGTGTCATTTCTCTTGGTTTCTAAATTCTCTTTGCTACAGCCTCGAAGCAACCACACCTTTTTACAGCCAATGCAACATCTTAAAATTCTGCCAGTGCCT